TGCTAATATAAATCACATCCTGCTAAAGGCTGCACAAACACACACTCACTGAATCAAGCTCAACTTGCTCAGCACTCATCTCCACACTTCCTGTTGTGTGAGCAGAGAGACTGGCCTTAAACAAAGGTTGGCACAATAAAATACCAACAAAAGAAATCATATAAATAAATAAGGCTAAAGTCTAATTATCATTATGTGTTTCATATAAATAAAAGCCTTAAAATGTGACTTTACTTAAGTGGAATAATTAGGTTAGTTGAATAAATTAAAGATTTTAAGTTCAATCAACAACTGTTCAGTCAGATCATCAGCTGCTGGAGCCACTTTGTAACAACACTAATCTTCATCATGGTTGTCTTCATTTAATACACAGTACGTTTACCAGTCTCAACCCTCACACTATTCATGCTAACTGAAGTGAATGAGTGAACTCTCAGCCGTTCATTCATTCAACTCGTTTTCATACGATCTGAAGTCTGCAAATAAAACTAAAAACCTGTTTTAAAGTGTAGTCATCAAAGTGTGTGTGTGTGTGTGTGTGTGTGTGTGTGTGTGTGTGTGTGTGTTTCTAATCTGTAATAATGAGGATTAGACAGTTTGTTAATCCAGTACAGTGAGAGAAGAACCAACAGAGATTACAACTACTAACAACACACAACTACAGCTACTCCTGAGTCTGTTACCAATGCACACCAATATAATCCAGTACAAACCAATATAAACCAGTACAAACCAATATAAACCAACATAAACCAATATAAACCAGTACAAACCAATATACACCAATATAAACCAACATAAACCAGTACAAACCAATATAAACCAATATAAACCAACATAAACCAACATAAACCAATACAAACCAATATAAACCAATATAAACCAACATAAACCAACATAAACCAGTACAAACCAATATAAACCAATATAAACCAACATAAACCAACATAAACCAATACAAACCAATATAAACCAATATAAACCAACATAAACCAACATAAACCAGTACAAACCAATATAAACCAGTACAAACCAATATAAACCAATATAAACCAACATAAACCAACATAAACCAATACAAACCAATATAAACCAATATAAACCAACATAAACCAACATAAACCAGTACAAACCAATATAAACCAGTACAAACCAATATAAACCAACATAAACCAGTACAAACCAATATAAACCAATATAAACCAGTATACACCAGTATTGCACCGAGTCCTGCCACCTTCAGAAGTTTTCTGATGACTCAGCAATAGTTGGCTGCATAGATAAGGGTGATGACAGTGAATATAGGACTGTGGTGGGCAACTTTGTCACTTGGACTGAGCTGAATCATCTGCAGCTCAATGTGACAAAGACTAAGGATCTCATAGTGGATCTGAGGAGGGCAAAAACACCAGTGACCCCTGTTTCCATCCAGGGGGTCCCTGTGGACACTGTGGAGGAGTATAAGTACCTGGGGGTGTACTTTAATAATAATCTGGACTGGACTAGAAACACTGAGGCGGTCTACAAAAAGGGCCAAAGCCGACTCTTTTTCCTAAGGAGGCTGAGGTCCTTTAACATCTGCCGGACGATGCTGAGGACGTTTTATGAGTCTGTTGTGGCCAGTACGATCTTCTTCGCTGTCACATGCTGGGGCAGTGGGCTGAGGGTCACAGACAACAACAGACTAAGCAAACTGATCAGGAGGGCCGGTGATAATGTTTTAAAGAGTTCGGTCTAGACCTGCTCTATTTGAAAAGTGTCCTGAGATAACTTCTGTTATGAATTGGCGCTATACAAATAAAATTGAATTGAATTGAATTGAATTGAATTGATGTCGTAGGGGGAGGAGCTGGACACCCTGACGACCGTGGCAGAGAGGAGGATGCTGTCCAGGCTTCAGTCCATCTTGAACAATGTCTCACACCCTCTCTAGGACACACTGGCCCAGCAGAGGAGCACCTTCAGCAGAAGACTCCTCTCACCCAGATGCACTACAGAGCGCCACAGGAAATCAGTCAGACACCCCCCCTCTGTAACCTGACCTCAAACACGGACAATCATTTTTTGCACTCTTTGCACATTATTACTGAACATTTGATCTTATATATATATACATATATATATACTGTTCCTAATAAATGTTGTCCGTATATCTGGAGTTTGTAACAATAATAATTTCCCCCTGGGATTATTCAAGTATTTCTGTTTCTGATCGAATTCTGATACCTGGTGTTGCCGTGGTGATGATGATGTCAGCAGTGTGACATCTTCTCTTATGTAACAGTTAAAGCCAGCTGGTTCCCATGGTGATAAAGAGTCAGGTCACATGACTTGAGATTAGCTTCAAGTGAAGAGCCGATAGGGACAGGAAGTGACACACACACACACACAATCACACTCCTGCTGCTGAGATCAATCATCAAGATCAATACCCAATAACCAGGATCAATAACCAGGATTAATATCCAATAAACAGAACGAATATCCAATGACCAGAATCAATATCTAATAACCAGGATCAATATCTAATAAACAGGATCAATATTCAATTCAATTCAATTCAATTCAATTCAATTTTATTTGGATAGCGCCAATTCATAACAGAAGTTATCTCAGGACACTTTTCAAATAGAGCAGGTCTAGACAGAACTCTTTATAACATTAATTACAGAGACCCAACAGTACCACCATGAGCAAGCACTTGGCGACAAGGGCAAGGAAAAACTGCCTGTTAAAAGGCAGAAACCTAGGACAGATCCTCCGGCTCTAGGTGGGTGGTCGTCTGTCTCGACCAGTTGGGGTGAGAGAGAGAGAGAGAGAGAGAGAGCGAGACAGAGACAGAGAGAGAGACAGACAGACAGACAGGTGCACAGCAACAACAGTATTAAGTAGTAATATCCAATCATTAGGATCAATATCAAATCATTAGGATCAATATCAAATCATTAGGATCAATATCCAATAAACAGGATCAATATCTAATAAACAGGATCAATGTCCAATTAACAGGATCAATACTACACTACCCACAATCCCCGTAGCCGTTGCTATGGATATGTCTCCATCCAGAGCTGTGACATTCTGAATGTTCAGTATCTGATGACCTGCAGGGTTACCACCAACCAGACTTCTAACAAAAAACACCACGTTTAAGACAGGTGACCACCAACCAGACTTCTAACAAAAAACACCACGTTTAAGACAGGTGACCACCAACCAGACTTCTAACAAAAAACACCACGTTTAAGACAGGTGACCACCAACCAGACTTCTAACAAAAAACACCACGTTTAAGACAGGTAACCACCAACCAGACTTCTAACAAAAAACACCACGTTTAAGACAGGTGACCACCAACCAGACTTCTAACAAAAAACACCATGTTTAAGACAGGTAACCACCAACCAGACTTCTAACAAAAAACACCACGTTTAAGACGCGTTACCACCAACCAGACTTCTAACAAAAAACACCATGTTTAAGACAGGTAACCACCAACCAGACTTCTAACAAAAAACACCACGTTTAAGACAGGTGACCACCAACCAGACTTCTAACAAAAAACACCACGTTTAAGACAGGTGACCACCAACCAGACTTCTAACAAAAAACACCACGTTTAAGAGAGGTGACCACCAACCAGACTTCTAACAAAAAACACCACGTTTAAGACGCGTTACCACCAACCAGACTTCTAACAAAAAAACACCACGTTTAAGACAGGTGACCACCAACCAGACTTCTAACAAAAAACACCACGTTTAAGACAGGTGACCACCAACCAGACTTCTAACAAAAAACACCACGTTTAAGAGAGGTGACCACCAACCAGACTTCTAACAAAAAACACCACGTTTAAGACGCGTTACCACCAACCAGACTTCTAACAAAAAACACCACGTTTAAGACAGGTGACCACCAACCAGACTTCTAACAAAAAACACCACGTTTAAGACAGGTGACCACCAACCAGACTTCTAACATAAAACACCATGTTTAAGACAGGTGACCACCAACCAGACTTCTAACAAAAAACACCACGTTTAAGACAGGCGACCACCAACCAGACTTCTAACAAAAAACACCACGTTTAAGACAGGTGACCACCAACCAGACTTCTAACAAAAAACACCACGTTTAAGACGCGTTACCACCAACCAGACTTCTAACAAAAAACACCACGTTTAAGACAGGTGACCACCAACCAGACTTCTAACAAAAAACACCACGTTTAAGACAGGTAACCACCAACCAGACTTCTAACAAAAAACACCACGTTTAAGACACGCTACCTGCGTTATTGTCGTTGTTCTTTTCCCTCCATGGCTTTAATTCACTGTCCTACATGAATTGGTTGTTGTGGATACATGTAAAATATTTTTGATCAATTAGATAGTCAAAGTCAAAGTCCTCCTGCTGATTCACCCAGATAATAAAAACATCAAAAAAAATTCCACAGAATTCCTCCTGAAGGTTTGCTCTAAGTAATCAGACGACATGTCAAACAGAGGACCGATCAATAACACAGCAGGACCACTGTCAATACTGCTGATACCAGATCAATCATGTTTCTAATTCAGCAGCTCGAAATAAAATCCTGTTTGTGTCGAAGCTGTAAAATCCCGGCTTACCTCGAACAGAGCACAGAGAGCCAGAAAAGAGGTCCAAGAGAAACCAGGTCTGTTCAGGTCTGAAAGAGTCTACCTGCAGCTCTGACGGGAGGGGGCGGGGCTTAATCCAATTAGGCTCAGTGTGAGGAGAGTGAGACGCCCCCTGCTGGCTGCTTCCTGTCTCACAGCCACAGTAACTGATATTAGATATATATTATATATATCTATATTCAGTTTATACAGAGATTGATGGATCACTTATAAACACAATGTGTACTTTATGACAAACAAAGGTCCTGTTGACTGAGAGAGATCACTTCCACATCACAGAGGAACTGAACTAATATTTATTGATCGGGTGTGTCCCTCAGACCAACTGTAATAACCTGATGCTCTTCAGCGCTCACTGAACTACAAATCGGTCCAATGTTTCACCAAAAAACTACAAAGTTATGCTAATCTCTTACAGCTCTTTGCAGGCTAGGAGCTAACTGAGCTAACTGTGTGTGTGTGTGTGTGTGTGTGTGTGTGTGTGTGTGTGTGTGTGTGTGTGTGTGTGTGTGTGTGTGTGTGTGTGTGTGTGTGTGTGTGTGTGTGTCTGTGTGTGTGTGTGTGTGTGTGACTGTGTGTGTGTGTGTGTGTGTGTGTGTGTGTGTGTGTGTCTGTCTGTCTGTCTGTGTGTGTGTGTGTGTGTGTGTGTGTGTGTGTGTGTGTGTGTGTGTGTGTCTGTGTGTCTGTCTGTCTGTGTGTGTGTGTCTGTGTCTGTGTGTGTGTGTGTGTGTGTGTGTGTGTGTGTGTGTCTGTCTGTGTGTGTGTGTGTGTGTGTGTCTGTCTGTCTGTCGTGTGTGTGTGTGTGTGTGTCTGTCTGTGTGTGTGTGTGTGTGTCTGTCTGTCTGTGTGTGTGTGTCTCTGTGTCTGTCTGTGTGTGTGTGTGTGTGTGTGTGTGTGTGTGTGTCTGTGTCTGTGTGTGTGTGTGTGTGTGTGTGTGTGTGTGTGTGTGTGTGTGTGTGTGTGTGTGTGTGTGTGTGTGTGTGTGTGTGTGTGTGTTGCAGTAATGAGCTGTAAACAGACAGACGTCCATTGTCTCTGTGGTTCCCTCCACCAGCAACCACAGAGAATAAAGACAGTACTGATCAACACAGACAGTTACACACACACACACACACACACACACACACACACACACACACACACACACACACGTTTGTCTGTCTTTTTCCAAACAGTTTCCAACGACAACTACCCAGATGGTTCTGTAGAACAAATTATCTGCAGCCAGTGCGAGAAGATTAAATCCTTCCCCATCACACTGTGTGTGTGTGTGTGTGTGTGTGTGTGTGTGTGTGTGTGTGTGTGTGGAGAACATATAGAGCCAATCATCATTAAACCGACTGATCAACTGATCAGTAATAAGTAAATCAATATGTTTCTTACCTTCATCCATTGGGACGTCATTGGAGGAACTGTGAGATCCTTCAGGCATCACACTGTCACCTAAACACACACACACACACACACACACACACACACACACACACACACACACAGACAGAGAGACATGATGCATTCAGGGACACTGCAGCTGCTGTAGATTATCTGTTGTCACACTTCAATAAATGCATTTAAAGCTGCAGTCAGTGAATGCCTTCTTCAAACATCGGTACCAGATCTATTCCAACCAGGTCCAACCACAACCAGGTCCCATCAGTCAGGAGTAATGACTGGTTCTGGTTTCTGCAAGTCTTTACTGGTTGTCCTCTGGTGGATCCAGGTTCTCTAACCGGCTGCTGGTGAGAATAAACAGTGAGGTCGGTCAGGTGATGATACCTGAGCAAGCTGTCTGACAGACGATGATGAGGGCAAAATAAGGAACCGGAGCTACGGGCTCAAAGACCCTGATATCACAGATTCCTGCTGCAGTCAGAAACCTGCAGTCAGAAACCTACAGTCCAGAAACCTGCAGTCAGAAACCTGCAGCCAGAAACCTGCAGCCAGAAACCTGCAGTCAGAAACCTGCAGCCAGAAACCTGTAGTCAGAAACCTGCAGTCAGAAACCTGCAGCCAGAAACCTGCAGTCAGAAACCTGTAGTCAGAAACCTGCATTAAGAAACCTGCAGCCAGAAACCTGTAGTCAGAAACCTGCAGTACAGAAACCTGCAGTACAGAAACCGGAAGTACAGAAACCGGAAGTACAGAAACCTGTAGTCAGAAACCTGCAGTCAGAAACCTGCAGTACAGAAACCGGAAGTACAGAAACCCGCAGTCAGAAACCTGCAGTACAGAAACCGGAAGTACAGAAACCGGAAGTACAGAAACCTGCAGTACAGAAACCTGTAGTCAGAAACCTGCAGTCAGAAACCTGCAGTCAGAAACCTGCAGTACAGAAACCTGCAGTACAGAAACCGGAAAGTACAGAAACCTGCAGTCAGAAACCTGCAGTAAGAAACCGGAAGTACAGAAACCTGTAGTCAGAAACCTGCAGTCAGAAACCTGCAGTACAGAAACCGGAAGTAAGAAACCGGAAGTACAGAAACCTGTAGTCAGAAACCTGCAGTCAGAAACCTGCAGTACAGAAACCGGAAGTAAGAAACCGGAAGTACAGAAACCTGTAGTCAGAAACCTGCAGTACAGAAACCTGCAGTAAAGAAACCTTCAGTAAGAAACCGGAAGTACAGAAACCTACAGTCAGAAACCTGCAGTCAGAAACCTGCAGCCAGAAACCTGCAGTCAGACACCTGCAGTCAGAAACCTGCAGTACAGAAACCTGCAGTACAGAAACCTGCAGTAAGAAACCGAGTACAGAAACCTGCAGTCAGAAACCTGCAGTACAGAAACCTGCAGTCAGAAACCTTCAGTAAGAAACCTGCAGTACAGAAACCTGCAGTACAGAAACCTGCAGTACAGAAACCTGCAGTCAGAAACCTGCAGTCAGGAACCTGAAGTACAGAAATCTGTAAATATCTTCAACTTAGTTTACTCCAGCTGAATATTTCTGTTTATTATTATTATTCATGATTATCATCTGTTCAGTTTTAGTCAGCAGACGAGTCACTTCCTGTTTGAGGTTGATGATTCAGTTCATCGTTAACAGATAAACATCCTCAGTAACCACCTCAGTCCACTGCAGTCCACTGCAGTCTACCTCAGTCCACTATAGTCCACCACAGACTACCTCAGTCCACCACAGTCCACCTCAGTCCACTACAGTCCACCACAGTCTACTACAGTCCACCTCAGTCCACTACAGTCCACCACAGTCTACTACAGTCCACCTCAGTCCACCTCAGTCCACCACAGTCCACCACAGTCCACCTCAGTCCACTACAGTCCACCACAGTCTACTACAGTCCACCTCAGTCCACTACAGTCCACCACAGTCCACCACAGTCCACCTCAGTCCACTACAGTCCACCACAGTCTACTACAGTCCACCTCAGTCCACTACAGTCCCCCACAGTCCACCTCAGTCCACTACAGTCCACCACAGTCTACTACAGTCCACCTCAGTCCACTACAGTCCACCACAGTCCACCTCAGTCCACCTCAGTCCACCACAGTCCACCACAGTCCACCTCAGTCTACTACAGTCCACCTCAGTCCACCTCAGTCTACTACAGTCCACCTCAGTCTACTACATTCCACCTCAGTCCACCACAGTCCACCTCAGTCTACTACAGTCCACCACAGTCCACCTCAGTCCACTACAGTCCACCTCAGTCTACTACAGTCCACTACAGTCCACCTCAGTCTACTACAGTCCACCACAGTCCACCTCAGTCTACTACAGTCCACCACAGTCCACCTCAGTCTACTACAGTCCACCTCAGTCTACTACAGTCCACCACAGTCCACCTCAGTCTACTACAGTCCACTACAGTCCACCACAGTCCACTACAGTCCACCTCAGTCTACTACAGTCCACCTCAGTCTACTACAGTCCACCACAGTCTACTACAGTCCACTACAGTCCACCTCAGTCTACTACAGTCCACTACGGTTTCAGCACCAGCTGGCAGAGGTCCAGGTCTGGTTGCCGTGGTGACCACAGCTCTGTCAGACGTCAGAAGGCAGTGTCTGAGCATGCTCAGTCTGCAGCCTGATCAGGTGAGGAATCGACCTGGTTACCATGGAAACACATTTATTGTGATTGGTTGTGTAAGTGATTACTAATAACTGATTTCTGGTTTTAGTTTCCTGTTTGACTGTAAATGTCTGTTAGACACACATACACACTCAGATCACAAACAACAACAACAACAACAACAACAACAACAACAACAACAGTCATAATGAAGTTGTCTTTGAACTGATGTGAAACATTTCTCTGTGTTTTCCTACAGAACCCCCGTTTAAGAAAAGCTTCTTTTAAGATTCTCTTGCTTTTCATCAAAACTACAAACATCACCGAGCTCGTCCCGGTGGTTGTTCTGGCTGGGCGGTGTCCTCGGTTGATTTCGGCAGTGAAGACTCACCAGGCAGGTTTTAATGTGATAAAATCTCTCTGAGTTCAGACTTGTTTCCCTATTCGTCTGCGCTGCTCGCCGCCGCTCGTAGGGCGTGTTTTAACGGCGAGCGGCAGCGACAGAAACCGGCACAACTTTAGATAAACGATAAATAAGAGCTCTACTGTGTGTAACATTGTAGCCGAATTAAACATCGACTCCATCTGGTTCTAACCATCATCATGTTTTACTATAAGAAGTTTGTATGTTTTCATGCGAGCACGTATTCCTTAAATGGAAAGATTTCCTAAAGCAGTTCTGCATGCGGAACCCCACCTACAGCTACAGAGCAGTTAGCGAGATTTAAGTGGTGGTGAGTCGGTAACAGTTGATTTAAATTCCAGTGGAGCAGAAAGTCCAGGCTCGGTTCGGTCAGTTTGAACAGTTTGAAGAGTTTGAAGAGTTTGAGGCAGAAAGTGAAGCAGATTAAAATCACACTTCCGTGTAGAGTCCCAGAATAAATCAGATTGTGTCAGAAAGTGTGAACAGGAACATCAAACTCACCTCGGAGGACTTTAATGGAACCAGGATCTGTCACATCCACACTGAGACCGCCTGTCAGCCAATCTGAGCGGTCGGTCTGTCTCTCTGTATCTGTCTGTCTGTCTGTCTGCGGGACGCTCCTGCTGATGCCCTCAGACCCTCTGCGCATGCGCCTCATTTGAAAGGCTGCAGTAGAAAAGTAGATTTTTGTCTCTGAGAGCAAACACAGTCCTGTACGGAAGCCCACCAGTGCCACAGTGGCGGGAAGGATGACTTATTCTAATGACAAACTTTTAATAAAGTCTCTCATTATTTTGAGAAGAAGTGTTTTTGCAGTTTTTAACAGATTTAATGTCAAATTAAAGTTAAAAATTGTATTTTTGTTCATTCCCAGTGAAGTTTATTATCATTAATCTCTGATTATTATCTAATAAGAGCTGATGAAATGTTAGCAGTTTAATGATCTGATGTTTTGTCTGTTAGGTGGAGTCAGCGGACGAGAAGAATAGAGTTCAACCTGACAACAACAACAACTGTGAATTAGATAATAAGTCATTAATATAAGATAATAAGTCATTATTGTGAGATAATAAGTCATTATTGTGAGATAATAGTCATTATTGTGAGATAATAAGTCATTATTGTGAGATAATAAGTCATTAATATGAGATAATAAGTCATTATTGTGAGATAATAAGTCATTAATATGAGATAATAAGTCATTAATATTAGATAATAAGTCATTAATATTAGATAAGTAATTAATATGAGATAATAAGTCATTAATATTAGATAAGTAATTAATATGAGATAATAAGTCATTAATATTAGATAATAAGTCATTAATATGAGATAATAAGTCATTATTGTGAGATAATAAGTCATTAGTATTAGATAATAAGTCATTAATATGAGATAATAAGTCATTAATATTAGATGATAAGTCATTAATATTAGATAAGTCATTATATTAGATAATAAGTCATTATTGTGAGATAATAAGTCATTAGTATTAGATAGTAAGTCATTAATATGAGATAATAAGTCATTAATATTAGATAATAAGTCATTAATATGAGATAATAAGTCATTAATATTAGATAAGTCATTAATATGAGATAATAAGTCATTAATATGAGATAATAAGTCATTAATATGACATAATAAATCATTATTGTGAGATAATTAGTAATTATTGTGAGATAATAAGTCATTAATATGAGATAATAAGTCATTAATATGAGATAATAAGTCACTATTGTGAGATAATAAGTCATTATTGTGAGGTAATAAGTATTTTTTGTGAGATAAGAAGTCATTAATATGAGATAATAAGTCATTATTGTGAGATAATAAGTCATTAGTATTAGATAATAAGTAATTAATATGAGATAATAAGTCATTAATATTAGATAAGTCATTAATATGAGATAATAAGTCATTAATATTAGATAAATCATTAATATGAGATAATAAGTCATTAATATTGATAATAGGTCATTAATATTAGATAAGTAACAGGTTCTCATTGATCCTCCTGCCATGGTCCTGTTTGACTGTGCACCTGTCTGTCTGTCTGTCTGTCTGTCTGTCTGTCTGTGTGTCTCTCTCTCTCTCTCTCTCTCTCTCTTACCCCAACTGGTCGAGACAGACGACCACCCACCTTAATATGAGATAATAAGTCATTAATATTAGATAAGTAATTAATATGAGATAATAAGTCATTAATATTAGATAAGTAATTAATATGAGATAATAAGTCATTAATATTAGATAATAAGTCACTATTATGAGATAATAAGTCATTAATATTAGATAATAAGTCATTAATATTAGATAAGTAATTAATATGAGATAATAAGTCATTAATATTAGATAAGTAATTAATATGAGATAATAAGTCATTAATATTAGATATGTAATTAATATGAGATAATAAGTCATTAATATTAGATAATAAGTCATTATTATGAGATAATAAGTCATTAATATTAGATAATAAGTCATTAATATTAGATAAGTCATTAATATTAGATAAGTAATTAATATGAGATAATAAGTCATTAATATTAGATAAGTAATTAATATTAGATAATAAGTCATTATTGTGAGATAATAAGTCATTAATATGAGATAATAAGTCATTAATGTGAGATAATAAGTCATTAATATGAGATAATAAGTCATTAATGTGAGATAATAAGTCATTAATATGAGATAATAAGTCATTATTGTGAGATAATAAGTCATTAATATGAGATAATAAGTCATTAATTTTGAGATAATAAGTCATTAATATGAGATAATAAGTCATTATTATTAGATAATAAGTCATTAATATGAGATAATAAGTCATTAATATGAGATAATAAGTCATTAATGTTAGATAATAAGTCATTAATATGAGATAATAAGTCATTAATATGAGATAATAAGTCTTAATATTAGATAAGTCATTATTATGAGAAAAGTTTAATATTAGATAAGTCATTAATATTAGATAATAAGTCATTATTGTGAGATAATAAGTCATTAATATGAGATAATAAGTCATTATTGTGAGATAATAAGTCATTAATATGAGATAATAAGTCATTAATATGAGATAATAAGTCATTATTGTGAGATAATAATTCATTAATATGAGATAATAAGTCATTATTGTTAGATAATAAGTCATTAATATGAGATAATAAGTCATTATTGTGAGATAATAAGTCATTAATATGAGATAATAAGTCATTAATATGAGATAATAAGTCATTATTGTGAGATATTAAGTCATTAATATGAGATAATAAGTCAAGGTTCTTGTGCTTTTCTTGTCTTGCAGGTTCTCATTGATCCTGGTTGAGCCTCCTGCCATGGTCCTGTTTGACTGTGCACCTGTCTGTCTGTCTGTCTGTCTGTCTGTCTGTCTGTCTCTCTCTCTCTCTCTCTCTCTCTCTCTCTCTCTCTTACCCCAACTGGTCGAGACAGACGACCACCCACCTAGAGTCGAAGGATCTGTCCTAGGTTTCTGCCTTTTAACAGGCAGTTTTTCCTTGCCCTTGTCTCCAAGGTCTTGCTCATGGTGGTACTGTTGGGTCTCTGTAATTAATGTTATAAAGAGTTCGGTCTAGTCCTGCTCTATTTGAAAAGCTGTTATGAATTGGCGCACATTGAATCTTTTTGTGCAGCACTTTGGAAAACCTTGTGTTTGTTAAAATCGTGCTATATAAATAAAGTGGATTGGATTGGATTAGTACAATATGGTGAAGCATACACACATCCACAGTCGGGCTGAGTGGGTATCAAACATACAGCTGCGGGAGCAAAGACCAGGTCTTTATGGTTCTAGTCCAGCTGAGAGCGGATCTATTTGGACTGAAGGAACATACGGACCAGCAGAACCTTTGTAGCTTCAAACAATGAAGTATCTCTCCACCTGTGATTTAGCTGAACCTTTGAAGAGTGCGACCTGCGTACAGGTTCCCACAGTATCAGTGGCGGGCTGTAAGGGATCAGGGTGAACAGGTTCCACCCTCTGTCCCACATGTCCTCTCCTGTTTGTTGTTTTAAACTGTAGCAGTACATTATATATAAACACCATGTTTTTATTCCACGCTGTCTCTCCTCACAGAGTGTCTGTCTGTCTGTCTGTCTGTCTGTGGTAGACATTATACAACCCCAGAGCCTCCCTCTGTAGGTGAAGGGGTTAGGGTTTATGGAGCCTGGTGGCAGCTACAGTCACATTAATGGTGTTTGACCACCGGAGGGCAGCAGAGCTCCACAGCTGACACACTGATTCACTCTTTCATTAACTGGTGAATGAATGAATGAATGAATATGTTGTTAGCAGGCTGGTGAGACTGAGACTGGAGGAAAGGTGTGTGTGTGTGTGTGTGTGTGTGTGTGTGTGTGTGTGTGTCTGTGTGTGTGTGTGTGTTTCTGTGTGTGTGTGTGTGTGTCTGTGTGTGTGTGTGTGTGTGTGTGTGTGTGTGTGTGTGTGTGTGTGTGTGTGTGTGTGTGTGTGTGTGTGTTTCTGTGTGTGTGTGTGTGTGTGTGTGTGTGTGTGTGTGTGTGTGTGTGTGTGTGTGTGTGTGTGTGTGTGTGTGTGTGTGTGTGTGTGTTTCTCTGTGTGTGTGTGTGTGTGTGTGTGTGTGTGAGTGTGTGTGCGTGTGTTTCTGTGTGTGAGTGTGTGTGTTTCTGTGAGTGTGTGTGTGTGTGTTTCTGTGTGTGTGTGTGTGTGTTTCTGTGTGTGTGTGTGTGTGTTTCTGTGTGTGTGTGTTTCTGTGTGTGTGTGTGTTTCTGTGTGTGTGTGTGTGTGTGTGTTTCTGTGTGTGTGTGTGTGTGTGTGTGTGTGTGTGTGTGTGTGTGTGTGTGTGTGTGTGTGTGTGTGTGTGTGTGTGTGTGTGTGTGTCTCCCCCTGTTGGACACAAAGAGAACTGACCTGAGAGAAAACAATGAGGAAGATATGAAGGTAAACAAACAACTGAGACATGTTGTCACACGTTAGAAACCTTTCAGAGAAGACGAGTTTCATCCTGTCTTCTTCTTCTTCTTCTTCTTCTTCTCCTCCTCCTCCTCAACAACAACAGCTCGAGTTTATCTGACAGCTTTAGTCCCGTAACAGACACATATTATTATTATTATTATTATTATTATTATTAGTTATTGTTGTTATTGTTGTTATTATTGAGACACTTTTTACAGTTTGAAGTGATACTCAATCGATTCAATAATACCCAATAATTCTGCTTTCTTTAAGAAACCATTTAAATGAGTTTAATGGCCTTCCTCTGTTGCCATGGTGACAGCTGAGATGTAGTCACATGACAGGAAGTGAGCGTGTTCTGATTTGTTGTTCCACGTGACTTTATTGAAGATTAAAAAACAACCTGAGAGAATTAAAACAACTTCATATTTACATCAAGTTTCTCTTTTAAAACCCAAACACACAGTTCATAAATATATTAGAGTCAACACACAACACCATATTGTTTACCAACAACAACAACAACCTGTTTACACCGCAGAGCTAAACACACTGTGAGCTAAATGCTAACAGCAGCATGCTAACATGCCAAAGCTAGTAGGTATCATGTTATCATTGAAGCTAAAAATGAATGGTTTTGTGAATGGAGTCTGGTGGGCCGTCGCTCTAGTGCGACATGTAATGGAACAAAACAAAAAGAACAGAAGAATGAACCAGAAAGCAGCTGTGGCGTCGCCATGGTGACAGCGGTGATGATGAGGTCATATAGGTTTGGTGGTGCTGTTGTAAACGAGCGTGTCCTGCTCCGACAGCGTCACATGGGCGGGGCCTGTGGCCACGGGCCTGTGGGAGCGCTCTTTCCTGGCCTTGAGGAAGCAGTAGGTGAGGATGGCCAGCAGAGCCAAGATGGCGACCGACAAGAGGACAGCCAGCGCTATGTTTCCTGTGGAGGACACAGTGACTTCACTTCCTGTCAGCTGACACAGGTGTTTGCATTGAAGGTGAGTTTCTTACCTGAGTCACTTTCTTCGTCTGTCTCGAACCGATCGAACATCCCTCTGAAGAACACGTTTTGCTCTGCACAGACAAAGGAAAAGTACTGCGTTATAGTACTGCGTTATACTGCATTATAGTACTGCGTTATAGTACTGCGTTATAGTACTGCATCATAGTACTGCGTTATACTACATTATAGTACTGCATTATAGTACTGCGTTATAGTACTGTGTTATAGTACTGGTACGTTATACTGCTGCATTTAGTTATAGTACTGCGTTATACTGCATTATAGTACTGACGTTATACTGCATTATAGTACTGCATTATAGTACTGCGTTATAGTACTGTTCGTTATAGTACTGCGTTATACTGCATTATAGTACTGCATTATAGTACTGCGTTATAGTACTGTGTTATAGTACTGCGTTATACTGCATTATAGTACTGCGTTATACTGCATTATAGTACTGCATTATAGTACTGCGTTATAGTACTGTGTTATAGTACTGCGTTATACTGCATTATAGTACTGCGTTATACTGCATTATAGTACTGCGTTATACTGCATTATAGTACTGCATTATAGTACTGCGTTATAGTACTGCGTTATAGTACTGCGTTATACTGCATTATAGTACTGCGTTATACTGCATTATAGTACTGCATTATAGTACTGCGTTATAGTACTGTGTTATAGTACTGCGTTATACTGCATTATAGTACTGCGTTATACTGCATTATAGTACTGCGTTATACTACATTATAGTACTGCGTTATACTGCATTATAGTACTGTTACTGTTTAGTACTGCATTATAGTACTGCATTATAGTACTGCGTTATAGTACTGCGTTATAGTACTGCGTTATAGTACTGCATTATAGTACTGCGTTATACTGCATTATAGTACTGCATTATAGTACTGCGTTATAGTACTGCGTTATAGTACTTATAGTACTTTAGTGTTATAGTACTGCGTTATACTGCATTATAGTACTGCGTTATACTGCATTATAGTACTGCGTTATACTGCATTATAGTACTGCGTTATACTACATTATAGTACTGCGTTATACTGCATTATAGTACTGCGTTAGTACTGCATTATAGTACTGCATTATAGTACTGTGTTATAGTACTGCGTTATACTGATATAGTATATTATAGTACTGCATTATAGTACTGCGTTTGTACTTATACTGCATTATAGTACTGCCTTTTACTGCATTATAGTACTGCATTATAGTACTGCGTTATAGTACTGCGTTATACTGCATTATAGTACTACATTATAGTACTGCGTTATACCTCATTATAGTACTGCGTTATACTGCATTATAGTACTGCGTTATACTGCATTATAGTACTGTGTTATACTGCATTATAGTACTGCATTATAGTACTGCGTTATAGTACATTATAGTACTGCATTATAGTACTGCGTTATAGTACTGCGTTATACTGCATTATAGTACTCATTATAGTATTAAACATTATAGTACTGCGTTATACTGCATTATAGTACTGCGTTATAGTACATTATAGTACTGCATTATACTGCATTATAGTACTGCGTTATACTGCATTATAGTACTGTGTTATACTATATTATAGTACTGCATCATAGTACTGCGTTATACTGCATTATAGTACTGCGTTATAGTACTGCATTATAGTACTGCATTATAGTACTGCGTTATAGTACTACGTTATACTACATTATAGTACTGCATTATAGTACTGCATTATAGTACTACGTTATACTACATTATAGTACTGCATTATAGTACTGCATTATATTTATAGTACTACGTTATACTACATTATAGTACTGCATTATAGTACTACGTTATACTACATTATAGTACTGCATTATAGTACTACGTTATACTACATTATAGTACTGCATTATAGTACTACGTTATACTACATTATAGTACTGCATTATAGTACTGTGTTATACTACATTATAGTACTGCGTTATACTGCATTATAGTACTACATTATAGTACTGCATTATAGTACTGCGTTATACTGCATTATAGTACTACATTATAGTACTGCATTATAGTACTGCGTTATACTGCATTATAGTACTGCATTATAGTACTGCGTTATACTGCATTATAGTACTGCGTTATACTACATTATAGTACTGCATTATAGTACTGCGTTATACTGCATTATAGTACTGCGTTATACTGCATTACAGTACTGCATTATAGTACTGCGTTATACTGCATTACAGTACTGCATTATAGTACTGCGTTATACTGCATTATAGTACTGCGTTATACTACATTATAGTACTGCGTTATACTGCATTATAGTACTGCGTTATACTGCATTATAGTACTGCATTATAGTACTGCGTTATACTACATTATAGTACTGCATCATAGTACTGCGTTATACTACATTATAGTACTGCGTTATACTGCATTATAGTACTGCGTTATACTGCATTATAGTACTGCGTTATACTGCATTATAGTACTGCGTTATACTACATTATAGTACTGCATCATAGTATTGCGTTATACTGCATTACAGTACTGCATTATAGTACTGCATCATAGTACTGCGTTATACTACATTATAGTACTGCATTATAGTACTGCGTTATACTGCATTACAGTACTGCATTATAGTACTGCATCATAGTACTGCGTTATACTGCATTATAGTACTGCGTTATACTGCATTATAGTACTGCGTTATACTGCATCATAGTACTGCGTTATACTGCATTATAGTACTGCGTTATAGTACTGCATTATAGTACTGCGATATACTGCATTATAGTACTGCGTTATACTGCATTATAGTACTGCATTATAGTACTGCGTTATACTACATTATAGTACTGCATCATAGTACTGCGTTATACTGCATTATAGTACTGCATCATAGTACTGCGTTATACTGCATTATAGTACTGCGTTTTAGTACTGCGTTATACTACATTATAGTACTGCGTTATACTGCATTACAGTACTGCATTATAGTACTGCGTTATACTGCATTATAGTACTGCGTTATACTACATTATAGTACTGCGTTATACTGTATTATAGTGCTGCGTTATACTGCATTATAGTACTGCATTATAGTACTGTGATATACTGCATTATAGTACTGCGTTATACTGTATTATAGTACTGCATTATAGTACTGCGATATACTGCATTATAGTACTGCGTTATACTGCATTATAGTACTGCATTATAGTACTGCGTTATACTGCATTATAGTACTGCGTCATAGTACTGCGTTATAGTACTGCGTTATACTGCATTATAGTACTGCATTATAGTACTGCGTTATACTGCATTATAGTACTGCATTATAGTACTGCGTTATACTACATTATAGTACTGCGTTATACTACATTATAGTACTGCATTATAGTACTGCGTTATACTACATTATAGTACTGCGTTATACTACATTATAGTACTGCGTTATACTACATTATAGTACTGCGTTATACTGTATTATAGTACTGCGTTATAGTACTGCATTATAGTACTGCGATATACTGCATTATAGTACTGCGTTATACTGTATTATAGTACTGCATTATAGTACTGCGATATACTGCATTATAGTACTGCGTTATACTTTTATATACTGCATTATAGTACTGCGTTATACTGCATTATAGTACTGTTATACTGCATTATAGTACTGCATTATAGTACTGCGTTATACTGCATTATAGTACTGCATTATAGTACTGCGTTATAGTACTGCGTTATACTGCATTATAGTACTACGTTATACTGCATTATAGTACTGCGTCATAGTACTGCGTTATAGTACTGCGTTTTACTGCATTATAGTACTGCATTATAGTACTGTGTTATACTGCATTATAGTACTGCGTTATACTGCATTATAGTACTGCATTATAGTACTGCGATATACTACATTATAGTACTGCGTTATACTGTATTATAGTACTGCATTATAGTACTGCGATATACTGCATTATAGTACTGCGTTATACTGCATTATAGTACTGCGTTATACTGTATTATAGTACTGCATTATAGTACTGCGATATACTGCATTATAGTACTGCGTTATACTGCATTATAGTACTGCATTATAGTACTGCGATATACTGCATTATAGTACTGCGTTATACTGTATTATAGTACTGCATTATAGTACTGCGATATACTGCATTATAGTACTGCGTTATACTGCATTATAGTACTGCATTATAGTACTGCATTATAGTACTGCGTTATACTGCATTATAGTACTGCATTATAGTACTGCGTTATAGTACTGCGTTATACTGCATTATAGTACTATGTTATACTGCATTATAGTACTGCGTCATAGTACTGCGTTATAGTACTGCGTTATACTGCATTATAGTACTGCATTATAGTACTGTGTTATACTGCATTATAGTACTGCGTTATACTGCATTATAGTACTGCATTATAGTACTGCGATATACTACATTATAGTACTGCGTTATACTGTATTATAGTACTGCATTATAGTACTGCGATATACTGCATTATAGTACTGCGTTATACTGCATTATAGTACTGCATTATAGTACTGCATTATAGTACTGCGTTATACTTCATTATAGTACTGCATTATAGTACTGTATGTTATAGTACTGCGTTATACTGCATTATAGTACTGCGTCATAGTACTGCGTTATACTGCATTATAGTACTGCGTTATACTACATTATAGTACTGCATTATAGTACTGCGTTATAGTACTGCATTATAGTACTGCGTTATACTGCATTATACTGCATTATAGTACTGCATTATACTGCATTATAGTACTGCTTTATACTGCATTACAGTACTGCGTTATACTTTTGGCATTATAGTTACTGCGTTATAGTACTGCATTATACTGCATTATAGTTGTTTACTGCATTATAGTACTGCGTTATAGATTATACTGCTTTATAGTACTGCATTATAGTACTGCGTTATAGTACTACTTTATACTGCATTATAGTACTGCGTTATAGTACTGCGTTATACTGCATTATAGTACTGCATTATAGTACTGTGTTATACTGCATTATAGTACTGCATTATAGTACTGTGTTATAGTACTGCGGTATACTGCATTATAGTACTGCATCATAGTACTGCGTTATACTACATTATAGTTCTGCGGTATACTGCATTATAGTACTGCATCATAGTACTGCGTTATAGTACTGCGTTATACTGCATTATAGTACTGCATCATAGTACTGCGTTATACTACATTATAGTACTGCATTATAGTACTACGTTATAGTACTGCATTATAGTACTGCGTTATACTACATTATAGTACTGCGTTATAGTACTGCGTTATACTGCATTATAGTACTGCGTTATACTACATTATAGTACTGCATTATAGTACTGCGTTATAGTACTGCATTATAGTACTGCATTATACTGCATTATACTGCATTATAGTACTGCATTATACTGCATTATAGTACTGCGTTATACTGCATTACAGTACTGCGTTATACTGCATTATAGTACTGCGTTATACTGCATTATACTGCATTATAGTACTGCATTATAGTACTGCATTATACTGCATTATAGTACTGCGTTATAGTACTACTTTATACTGCATTATAGTACTGCGTTATAGTACTGCGTTATACTGCATTATAGTACTGCATTATAGCACTGCTTTATACTGCATTATAGTACTGCATTATAGTACTGCGTTATACTGCATTATAGTACTGCATCATAGTACTGCGTTATAGTACTGCGGTATACTGCATTATAGTACTGCATCATAGTACTGCGTTATAGTACTGTGTTATACTGCATTATAGTACTGCATCATAGTACTGCGTTATACTACATTATAGTACTGCATCATAGTACTGCGTTATACTGCATTATAGTACTGCGTTATACTACATTATAGTACTGCATTATAGTACTGCGTTATACTACATTATAGTACTGCGTTATAGTACTGCGTTATACTGCATTATAGTACTGCGTTATACTACATTACAGTACTGCATTATAGTACTGCGTTATAGTACTGCATTATAGTACTGCGTTATACTGCATTATAGTACTGCATTATAGTACTGCGTTATACTGCATTACAGTACTGCGTTATACTGCATTATAGTACTGCGTTATGCTGCATTATACTGCATTATAGTACTGCATTATAGTACTGCATTATACTGCATTATAGTACTGCGTTATACTGCATTATAGTATTGCATTATACTGCATTATAGTACTGCGTTATACTGCATTATAGTACTGCGTTATGCTGCATTATACTGCATTATAGTACTGCATTATAGTACTGCGTTATACTGCATTTTAGTACTGTGTTATACTGCATCATAGTACTGCGTTATACTGCATCATAGTACTGCGTTATACTGCATCATAGTACTGCGTTATACTGCATTATAGTACTGCATTATACTGCATTATAGTACTGCGTTATACTGCATTATAGTACTGCGTTATACTGCATTATAGTACTGCGTTATACTACATTATAGTACTGCGTTATACTGCATTATAGTACTGCGTTATACTGCATTATAGTACTGCATCATAGTACTGCGTTATACTGCATTATAGTATTGCGTTATACTGCATTATAGTACTGCATTATACTGCATTATAGTACTGCGTTATACTGCATTATAGTACTGCGTTATACTGCATTATAGTACTGCGTTATACTGCATTATAGTACTGCATCATAGTACTGCGTTATAGTACTGCGTTATACTGCATTATAGTACTGCATCATAGTACTGCGTTATAGTACTGCGTTATACTACATTATAGTACTGCTTTATACTACATTATAGTACCGGTTATACTGCCTTATAATACTGCATTATAGTACTGCGTTATAGTACTGCGTTATACTGCATTATAGTACTGCGTTATAGTACTGCGTTACAGTACATTATTCTGCGTTATAGTACATTATACTGCGTTACAGTACATTATACTGCGTTACAGTACATTATACTGCGTTATAGTACATTATACTGCGTTATAGCACATTATACTGCGTTACAGTACATTATACTGCGTTATAGTACATTATACTGCGTTATAGCACATTATACTGCGTTATAGTCACATTATACTGCGTTATAGTACATTATACTGCGTTACAGTACATTATACTGCGTTATAGTACATTATACTGCGTTATAGTACATTATTCTGCTGTTATAGTACATTATACTGCGTTACAGTACATTATTCTGCGTTATAGTACATTATTCTGCGTTATAGTACATTATACTGCGTTACAGTACATTATACTGCGTTATAGTACATTATACTGCGTTATAGTACATTATACTGCGTTACAGTACATTATACTGCGTTATAGTACATTATACTGCGTTACAGTACATTATACTGCGTATATTTTTTATAGTACATTACTGCGTTATTGTTACAGTACATTATACTGCGTTATAGTACATTATACTGCGTTATAGTACATTATACTGCGTTATAGTACATTATACTGCGTTATAGTACTGCGTTACAGTACATTATTCTGCGTTATAATACATTATACTGCGTTATAGTACATTATACTGCGTTACAGTACATTATACTGCGTTATAGTACATTATACTGCGTTACAGTACATTATACTGCGTTACAGTACATTATACTGCGTTATAGTACATTATACTGCGTTATAGTACATTATTCTGCGTTATAGTACATTATACTGCGTTACAGTACATTATACTGCGTTATAGTACTGGTTATAGTACTGCGTTACAGTACATTATACTGCGTTATAGTACATTATACTGCGTTATAGTACATTATACTGCGTTACAGTACATTATACTGCGTTATAGTACTGCGTTACAGTACATTATACTGCGTTATAGTACATTATACTGCGTTATAGTACATTATACTGCGTTATAGTACATTATACTGCGTTACAGCACATTATACTGCGTTACAGTACATTATACTGCGTTATAGTACATTATTCTGCGTTATAGTACATTATACTGCGTTACAGTACATTATACTGCGTTATAGTACATTATTTTACAGTATATTATACTGCGTTATAGTACATTATTCTGCGTTATAGTACATTATACTGCGTTACAGTACATTATACTGCGTTATAGTACTGTGTTACAGTACATTATTCTGCGTTATAGTACATTACACTGCGTTATAGTACATTATACTGCGTTACAGCACATCATACTGCGTTACAGTACATTATACTGCGTTATAGTACATTATTCTGCGTTATAGTACATTATACTGCGGTACAGTACATTATACTGCGTTATAGTACTGCGTTACAGTACATTATTCTGCGTTATAATACATTATACTGCGTTATAGTACATTATACTGCGTTATAGTACTGCGTTACAGTACATTATTCTGCGTTATAGTACATTATACTGCGTTATAGTACATTATACTGCGTTATAGTACATTATACTGCGTTATAGTACATTATACTGCGTTACAGTACATTATACTGCGTTATAGTACATTATACTGCGTTATAGTACATTATACTGCGTTATAGTACTTACAGTACATTATTCTGCGTTATAGTACTTATTATACTGCGTTATAGTACATTATACTGCGTTACAGTACATTATACTGCGTTATAGTACATTATACTGCGTTACAGTACATTATACTGCGTTACAGTACATTATACTGCGTTATAGTATTTCTGCGTTATAGTACATTATACTGCGTTATAGTACATTATACTGCGTTACAGTACATTATACTGCGTTACAGTACATTATACTGCGTTACCTGTCACTCCCTGACAGGTGTCTCTACACTTGTTTTCCTCGTCGAAGTTGTTCCCGTTGGCGTCACAGCCTCCATAGGTGAAGCGGTGGCACTTTCGGTTCAGAGGGTCGTAGTACCAGCGGGTGAAACTCGCCCGACACGGTCCGGTGTGGGGGGGCTCCGAGCACCGGGCTGGGGGGGGGGGGCAGTGTTAGCATGTAGCTTGTTAGCTGGTTGTGCTAACAGGAGAGACAAACAGACAGAGACTGACCTTTCTTCTGGTTTACATCGATGTTCAACAGCCGGGTGAATGTCTGGTTCACTGAGGAGGAAGAGTGTGTTACAGTGTGTACAGTGTGTTTACAGTGTGTTACAGTGTGTGTACAGTGTGTACAGTGTGTACAGTGTGTGTGTTACAGTGTGTTACAGTGTGTGTGTTACAGTGTGTTACAGTGTGTGTTACAGTGTGTTACAGTGTGTTACAGTGTGTACAGTGTGTTACAGTGTGTGTACAGTGTGTTACAGTGTGTGTGTTACAGTGTGTTACAGTGTGTACAGTGTGTTACAGTGTGTACAGTGTGTTACAGTGTGTGTACAGTGTGTTACAGTGTGTGTGTTACAGTGTGTTACAGTGTGTACAGTGTGTGTTACAGTGTGTTACAGTGTGTGTGTTACAGTGTGTTACAGTGTGTGTGTTACAGTGTGTTACAGTGTGTACAGTGTGTGTTACAGTGTGTTACAGTGTGTACAGTGTGTGTACAGTGTGTTACAGTGTGTGTCTTACAGTGTGTTACAGTGTGTGTACAGTGTGTACAGTGTGTGTGTTACAGTGTGTGTCTTACAGTGTGTTACAGTGTGTGTACAGTGTGTACAGTGTGTGTGTTACAGTGTGTGTCTTACAGTGTGTTACAGTGTGTGTACAGTGTTTGTACAGTGTGTGTACAGTGTGTTACAGTGTGTGTCTTACAGTGTGTTACAGTGTGTGTACAGTGTGTACGTGTGTGTTACAGTGTATGTTTACAGTGTGTTACAGTGTGTGTACGTTTTGTACAGTGTGTGTACAGTGTGTTACAGTGTGTGTTTACAGTGTGTTACAGTGTGTGTGTTACAGTGTGTTACAGTGTGTGTGTGTGTGTGTGTTACAGTGTGTGTGTGTGTGTGTTACGTTGACTGCAGTGCTCTTCATCAGCTCCGTCTCCGCAGTGTTTCTCGCCGTCACACTCCAGACTTCTGTCCAAACAGCAGCCACTGTCACAGGTCAGCTGATCAGGACGACACGTCGAACCACACAACACACACACACTCACACACACACACACACACACACACACACACACACACACACACACACACGTTAAACCTGTTTGTCTCAAACAGTGACAGAGCTAGATTGAAGAGGTGCATTGTGGGACTGACCAGCGACAGGCAGAGTGGAGCTCCTCTCTGATGTCACTGAGGACAAAAACATAGAAACAGGAATCAGCAGCGGGAATGTGTCAGAAGTTACAGGTGTACATGTGTGTGTACAGTGTGTGTGTACAGTGTGTGTACTGTGTGTGTGTACAGTGTGTGTGTGTGTACAGTATGTACAGTGTGTGTACAGTGTGTGTGTGTGTGTACAGTGTGTGTGTGTGTACAGTGTGTACAGTGTGTACAGTGTGTGTACAGTGTGTACAGTGTGTGTACAGTGTGTACAGTGTGTGTACAGTGTGTACAGTGTGTGTACAGTGTGTGTACAGTGTGTGTACCTGTCACTCCCCTGCAGGCAGACAAACACTCGTCCTCAGACAGGAAGTTGTTGTTGTTTTGTTTACAGCCTCCGAACACAAACTGCTCACAGCGACCGGCTGTGACGTTGAACCGCCAACGAGGAAACGCTGCACGACACGGACCGACCTTCACTGGAGCCCGACAGTACACTGAGAGAGAGAGACAGTACACTGAGAGAGAGAGACAGTATACACTGAGAGAGAGAGACAGTACACTGAGAGGAGAGACAGTACACTGAGAGAGAGAGAGAGACAGTACACTGAGAGAGAGAGACAGTATACACTGAGAGAGAGAGACAGTATACACTGAGAGAGAGAGACAGTACACTGAGAGAGAGAGAGAGACAGTACACTGAGAGAGAGAGACAGTATACACTGAGAGAGAGAGACAGTACACTGAGAGAGAGAGAGAGACAGTACACTGAGAGAGAGAGACAGTATACACTGAGAGAGAGAGACAGTACACTGAGAGAGAGAGACAGTACACTGAGAGAGAGAGAAAGTACACTGAGAGAGAGAGACAGTACACTGAGAGAGAGAGAGAGAAAGTACACTGAGAGAGAGAGAAAGTACACTGAGAGAGACAGTACACTAAGAGAGAGAGACTATTACCTGTGTACTACCTGTTTACTGCCTGTTTACTACCTGTTTAATACTTGTTTTCAACCTGTTTACTACCCTTGTACTACCTGTTTACTACCTGTTTACTGCCTGTGTACTACCTGTTTACTGCCTGTGTACTACCTGTTTACTGCCTGTTTACTACCTGTTTACTGCCTGTGTACTGCCTGTGTACTGCCTGTTTACTACCTGTTTACTGCCTGTTTTCTACCTTTGTACTACCTGTTTACTACCTGTTTACTACCTGTGTACTACCTGTGTACTACCTGTTTACTGCCTGTTTACTGCCTATGTACTACCTGTTTACTGCCTGTGTACTACCTGTTTACTGCCTGCCTGTTTACTGCCTGTGTACTACCTTTACTGCCTGTTTACTGCCTGTTTACTACCTGTTTACTGCCTGTTTTACTACCTTTGTACTACCTGTTTACTACCTGTTTACTACCTGTGTACTACCTGTGTACTACCTGTTTACTGCCTGTTTACTGCCTATGTACTACCTGTTTACTGCCTGTGTACTACCTGTTTACTGCCTGTGTACTACCTGTTTACTGCCTGTGTACTACCTGTGTACTACCTGTTTACTGCCTGTTTACTACCTGTGTACTACCTGTTTACTGCCTGTTTACTGCCTGTGTACTACCTGTTTACTGCCTGTTTACTGCCTTTGTACTACCTGTTTACTCCTTTTATGACCTGTGTACTACCTGTTTACTGCCTGTGTACTACCTGTTTACTACCTGTTTACTGCCTGTGTACTACCTGTGTACTGCCTGTTTACTGCCTGTTTACTGCCTGTGTACTACCTGTTTACTGCCTGTTTACTACCTGTTTACTACCTGTTTACTGCCTGTGTACTACCTGTTTACTGCCTTTGTACTGCCTGTGTACTGCCTGTGTACTGCCTGTTTAATACTTGTTTTCAACCTGTTTACTACCTTTGTACTACCTGTTTACTACCTGTTTACTGCCTGTGTACTGCCTGTGTACTACCTGTTTACTGCCTGTTTACTGCCTTTGTACTACCTGTTTACTGCCTGTTTACTGCCTGTGTACTACCTGTGTACTACCTGTTTACTGCCTGTTTACTGCCTGTGTACTACCTGTGTACTACCTGTGTACTGCCTGTTTACTGCCTGTTTACTGCCTGTGTACTGCCTGTTTAATACTTGTTTTCAACCTGTTTACTACCTGTTTACTACCTGTGTACTACCTGTTTACTGCCTGTTTACTGCCTGTGTACTACCTGTTTACTGCCTGTGTACTACCTGTGTACTGCCTGTGTACTACCTGTTTGCTGACTGTTTACTGCCTGTTTACTGCCTTTGTACTACCTGTTTACTGCCTGTGTACTGCCTGTTTAATACTTGTTTTCAACCTGTTTACTACCTTTGTACTACCTGTTTACTGCCTGTTTACTGTCTGTGTACTACCTGTTTACTGCCTGTGTACTACCTGTTTACTGCCTGTTTACTGCCTGTGTACTGCCTGTTTACTGCCTGTGTACTGCCTGTTTGCTACCTGTTTACTACCTGTTTACCTTACCTGTTTACCCTGTAACTGTTTAGCCTGTGTACTCCTGTTTTGTTTACTGCCTGTTTTACCTGTGTACTGCCTGTTTACTGCCTGTTTCTGTTTACTGCCTGTGTACTACCTGTTTACTGCCTGTGTACTGCCTGTTTACTACCTGTGTACTGCCTGTTTACTGCCTGTTTACACCTGTTTACTGCCTTACTGTTTGTCTACCTGTTTACTACCTGTTTACTACCTGTTGTTTACTGCCTGTTTACTGCCTTTGTTGTTTACTGCCTGTTTGCAACCTGTTTACTACTTGTACTACCTGTTTACTGCCTGTTTAGTGTATTTGCCTGTTTACTGCCTGTTTACTGCCTGTGTACTGCCTGTTTACTGCCTGTGTACTGCCTGTTTGCTACCTGTTTACTACCTGTTTACTACCTATATGGTGACTTTCGACCCACTGTAGTGCAGGGTGTGTCTGGTAACCGTGGTAACTTGTAGTATTTACAGTGGCATAAATTACTCAACAGCTTTCAGCTGAAACTGAACTCAGATCAGCTGGAAGTGACATTCATCAATCCTCAGGGTCTGTGTGTGTGTGTGTGTGTGTGTGTGTGTGTGTGTGTGTGTGTGTGTGTGTGTGTGTGTGTGTGTGTGTGTGTGTGTGTGTGTGTGTGGGTGTGTGGGTGGGTGTGTGTGGGTGTGTGTGTGTGTTGTGTGTGTGTGTGTGTGTGTGTGTAGTGTGCGTGCGTGTGTGTGTGTATGCGTGTGTGTGTGTGTTAGTGTGTTAGTGTGTGTGTGTGTGTGTGTTAGTGTGTGTGTGTGTGTGTGTGTGTTAGTGTGTGTGTGTGTGTGTTAGTGTGTGTGTCAGGTATTCCAGTCAGACCAGTTTGAGTCGAGGCGTAGATCATCAGCATAAAAACACTGATTCACTTCACTGAACATCAAAACCGTCAACTGATTCTCTTAAACGGATCAATAAAGTGTCAATAACAGAGTTAAACCGATCAATAAAGTGTCAATAACAGAGTTAAACCGATCAATAAAGTGTCAACAACAGAGTTAAAATATATTCCTGTACTGGCCGGACTACATTTCCCATGAGCACTCACAGCTGGACATCTCGGGGCTGAGGACGAGGACGGTAACCTCGGCAGCGTCTGATTGGCCGTTGGAGTCGGTGACAGTCAGCCGGAAGACGTAAGAGCCCGGCTGCAGGTTGGACAGTCGCACCTGGTCAGGTAGCTCGGTCTCCTGCAGAACCCCAAACATACCTGAGTGTAACACAGGAAGCTACCTGCTGCACAGATGGACAGGTACACTGACACACAGGAGGACAGGTACACTGACACACAGGAGGACAGGTACACAGGTGGACAGGTACACTGACACACAGGAGGACAGGTACACTGACACACAGGAGGACAGGTACACTGACACACAGGAGGACAGGTACACTGACACACAGGAGGACAGGTACACTGACACACAGGTGGACAGGTACACTGACACACAGGTACACTGACACACAGGTGGACAGGTACACTGACACACAGGTACACTGACACACAGGAGGACAGGTACACTGACACACAGGAGGACAGGTACACAGGTGGACAGGTACACTGACACACAGGAGGACAGGTACACTGACACACAGGAGGACAGGTACACTGACACACAGGTGGACAGGTACACTGACGGACAGGTGGACAGGTACACTGACGGTACACTGACACACAGGAGGACAGGCACACTGACACACAGGAGGACAGGTACACTGACACACAGGTGGACAGGTACACTGACGGACAGGTGGACAGGTACACTGACGGTACACTGACACACAGGAGGACAGGCACACTGACACACAGGAGGACAGGTACACTGACACACAGGTGGACAGGTACACTGACGGACAGGTGGACAGGTACACTGACGGACAGGTGGACAGGTACACTGACAAAGGTGGACAGGTACACTGACACACAGGAGGACAGGTACACTGACACACAGGTGGACAGGTACACTGACGGACAGGAGGACAGGTACACTGACACACAGGAGGACAGGTACACTGACACACAGGAGGACAGGTACACTGACACACAGGAGGACAGGTACACATGAAGGTGGACAGGTACACTGACACAGGGGACAGGTACACTGACACACAGGAGGACAGGTACACTGACACACAGGTGGACAGGTACACTGACACACAGGTGGACAGGTACACTGACGGACAGGTGGACAGGTACACTGACACACAGGTGGACAGGTACACTGACACACAGGTGGACAGGTACACTGACGGACAGGTGGACAGGTACACTGACACACAGGAGGACAGGTACACTGACACACAGGAGGACAGGTACACTGACACACAGGAGGACAGGTACACTGACGGACAGGTGGACAGGTACACTGACACACAGGAGGACAGGTACACTGACACACAGGTACACTGACACACAGGAGGACAGGTACACTGACACACAGGTGGACAGGTACACTGACGGACAGGTGGACAGGTACACTGACACACAGGTGGACAGGTACACTGACGGACAGGTGGACAGGTACACTGACACACAGGAGGACAGGTACACTGACACACAGGAGGACAGGTACACAGGTGGACAGGTACACTGACACACAGGAGGACAGGTACACTGACACACAGGAGGACAGGTACACTGACACACAGGTGGACAGGTACACTGACACACAGGTGGACAGGTACACTGACGGACAGGAGGACAGGTACACTGGACGGTACACTGACACAGGAGGACAGGTACACTGACGGACGGGACAGGTATAGGAGGACAGGTACGGACAGGAGGACAGGTACACTGACACAGGAGGACAGGTACACGGACAGGTACACTGTACTGCGGACAGGTGGACAGGTACACTGACACACAGGAGGACAGGTACACTGACGGACAGGAGGACAGGTACGCTGACACACAGGAGGACAGGTACACTGACACACAGGAGGACAGGTACACTGACACACAGAATTCTGCTGAGAGACAAACAGGAAGCTTTCTGCAGAGACTCTTTCAAAATAAAACAGGCTTTAAAAATGGAGGATCCTGTCAATCCAGTGGTTACCTGCCTGAGTTAAGCCCCGCCCCCAGCAGTTCTTACCTCCACCTTGACGCCGTCGTCCCCGCTCTGCAGACGCCAGAGGTAGTCTGTGATGTGGGCGTCGCCCAGCGGCAGGCTCTCGATGCCGTTGAGCGTCACCGTCTCGCCGGGCTGAACGATGACATCCTGACCCGCTATGGCGATGGGCGGAGCCTGCTCACCTGGAGCCGGGTTGGGGTCACAGCGGAGGTCAGACAGACAGGTACACAGGTACACACATGCTAGCACATCTGGTAGCTAATTAGCTAGCTCACAATTTACAGCAAGGTAGCATAATGCTAACATTAGCTAAGTACATATATATATAGTATAACAGTACTATAGTATTAATATTGATCAGATATACTGATATTGATTGGTATTGATCTGATATATTGGTAATGATCTGATATATTGATATTGATCTAATATATTGATATTGATCTGATATATTGGTAATAATCAGATATATTGATATTGATCTGATATATTGGTATTGATCTGATATATTGGTAATAATCAGATATATTGATATTGATTGGTATTGATCTGATATATTGGTATTGATCTGATATATTGATGGATATTGATCTGATATATTGATATTGATCTGATATATTGGTATTGATCTGATATATTGGTAATAATCAGATATATTGATATTGATTGGTATTGATCTGATATATTGGTAATAATCAGATATATTGATGGATATTGATCTGATATATTGATATTGATCTGATATATTGGTATTGATCTGATGTATTGATATTGATCTGGTATATTGATAATGATCTGATATATTGATATTGATCAGACATATTGATATTGATCTGATATATTGATATTGATCAGACATATTGATATTGATCTGATTTACTGGTATTGATCTGATATACTGATAATGATCTGATATATTGATATTGATCTGATGTATTGATATTGATCTGATGTATTGATATTGATCTGATGTATTTATATTGATCTGGTATATTGATAATGATCCGATATATTGATATTGATCTGTTGATATTGATCTGTATATTGTATTGATCTATTTTTTTGATATATTGATATTGATTATTATCTGATATATTGATATTGATCTTATATATTGATATTGATCTGATATATTGATTGATATTGATCTTATAGTATTGATATTGATCTGATATATTGATTGGTATTGAGCCTCACCTGCACCCTGCGGCCCCTGCAGGTGTTGGAGGAACACAGACTCTCTGATGTAGTTCTGGTATCCGACCTGGTTCACAAACCTGCACACGAAGCGGTTTCTGTGGACGCAGTCGAACAGGTCGCAGGTGCGGTTCTCCGCCGCTGCCGCTCCGGTGCCGCGCGGCGCCAGCAGCGCCAGGTTGCAGCGCGGGTCCTCGCAGCACGCGCGCTCACAAGCCTCCTCGGAGCGCACGTTCGCGGTGTCCAGCAGAGCCGCGCCCTCATTCACCGCGTCCTCCGCGTCCAGGACGAAGTCGTTCTGACCGGAGCGGAAAGTGCCGCCGCAGTGCGCGTCCTCCGCCGCTGCGGCGCACCGAAGGAGCAGGAGGAGCGGCAGCAAGAGAGAGGAAGAGGAGCAAGAGGAGGAAGAGGAGGATGGAGCCATTGTAGCAGACAAATATCGATTACCGCGTCCTGAAGCGTTTTTCTGTTCAGTCGTTAATAAAAAGCTTAAATCGTCAATGAACGGAGCTCGCGCTCAGTGTGTCTGCTCCCTTCACCTGCTCAGGTGTGTCTCACCTGCTCACAAACAGGAAGTACTGAAGACACGCCTCTCACGCGTGGCGTCACTCAGGTGTAGCGACACCGGGAAAATACGGAAATACTGTCAATAATCAATCAATAATAAAGCTTGAATTGATCTGTGATTGATAAAGAAGTTTGAAATGATATTATTATTAGTGCTGATGAGATCTGAATATTATTTATTGATGAGTAACAAATAAAAACATCTTTACTGTCGTCATTGATTGATTCATAGTTCGATCTTTAATTGATTTATTGACTTTATTTCATTTGATCAGTTTTTGTTCACCTCAGGGATCAATGATAAATATAAATATACATAAACATACTGCGCTGTGTGTGAGATATTCTATAATCAATACTCAATTAGAGTATTGATTAGTTCTCTACAACCTTCATTAAGTTGAACCAATTATAATAACTTCTTTATTTACTAAGAAATCTAATAGAACTTAAACACAGAAATTTAAATTGTTTATTGTAAAAGTAAAATTATATTAAGACTCCCGCCGTCACTTTAAAAGTATAAGCTAATCAATAATCAATAATCAGTCTTTATATAGTGTGGAAGTGCGTCAGTGTATCGATCAGTTGGAATGAAGGAAGTGACGTTTCAATCCTCGTCTTCAAAACGTCCAATCAGAGCGACCGCAGAAAGACAGCGAGCCGCAGTTTGGAAGTGTGTCAGAGGTAAGAAAGTCAACCTGCTCATGTTAAACTATGTTAAAGTTTATTAAAGTGTGTGAAACTCTTTTAAACTACATGAAAGATTATAAACATAAAGGTTAGCAACGGTTAGCAGCGGTAGCTAACAGCTCCTCCAGACTCCGTTCAGATATTCGGTGTTTTACGGTGAAATGTCTCCCGGTCGGCAGTCCGTTCACCGAAGGGTCCGGTTCCGGTTTCTGTGTGAAAGTATTGATCTGATCTTTAATTCGGCTCCGATTCAAAAACCTCAAGAAGCTGTTTTCAACCAAAGTTCACTTTATATCGTGGAGCTGAAGCTGTAGCATCACAGCTAACTGTAGCAGCTAACTGTAGCATCACAGCTAACTGTAGCATCACAGCTAACTGTAGCATCACAGCTAACTGTAGCAGCTAACTGTAGCAGCTAACTGTAGCATCACAGCTAAGTGTAGCAGCTAACTGTAGCAGCTAACTGTAGCATCACAGCTAACTGTAGCATCACAGCTAACTGTAGCATCACAGCTAACTGTAGCAGCTAACTGTAGCATCACAGCTAACTGTAGCATCACAGCTAACTGTAGCATCACAGCTAACTGTAGCAGCTAACTGTAGCAGCTAACTGTAGCATCACAGCTAACTGTAGCATCGCAGCTAACTGTAGCATCACAGCTAACTGTAGCATCACAGCTAACTAGCATCGCAGCTAACTAGCATCGCAGCTAACTGTAGCATCACAGCTAACTGTAGCATCACAGCTAGCTGTAGCATCGCAGCTAACTGTAGCATCGCAGCTAACTGTAGCAGCGCAGCTAACTGTAGCATCGCAGCTAGCTGTAGCAGCTAACTGTAGCATCGCAGCTAGCTGTAGCATCACAGCTAGCTGTAGCATCACAGCTAGCTGTAGCATGCAGCTAGCTGTAGCAGCTAACTGTAGCAGCGCAGCTATGTTGAATATGCTGATTGCTCATCGGTCAGTGAGTCGTCATTATTATTATTATTATTATTATTATTATTATTATTATTATTGATGATGAGGAGCTCCATATTCCAGAGTGCACTGAGGAAGACTGCAGGGTGAGCGCTGTGTTCTGATTGGTCCTCAGTGTGAGCGCTGTGTTCTGATTGGTCCTCAGTGTGAGCGCTGTGTTCTGATTGGTCCTCAGTGTGAGCGCTGTGTTCTGATTGGTCCTCAGTGTGAGCGCTGTGTTCTGATTGGTCCTCAGTGTGGCGCTGTGTTCTGATTGGTCCTCAGTGTGGAGTGTGTTCTGATTGGTCCTCAGTGTGAGTGCTGTGTTCTGATTGGTCCTCAGTGTGGCGCTGTGTTCGATTGGTCTCGGTGTGAGCGCTGTGTTCTGATTGGTCCTCGGTGTGGGCTGTGTTCTGATTGGTCTCAGTGTGGGCTGTGTTCTGATTGGTCCTAGTGTGGGCTGTGTTCTGATTGGTCCTGGTGTGGCGCTGTGTTCTGATTGGTCCTCAGTGTGAGTGCTGTGTTCTGATTGGTCCTCAGTGTGAGTGCTGTGTTCTGATTGGTCCTCAGTGTGAGTGCTGTGTTCTGATTGGTCCTCAGGTGCAGTGCTGTGTTCTGATTGGTCCTCAGTGTGAGTGCTGTGTTCTGATTGGTCCTCAGGTGCAGTGATGGCTGAGGGGCTCCTGATGAAGGTGGAGGCGTCGCTCCACTCCCAGTAAGTGTGTTTCAGTACGGAGGCCCAGAGAGGACAAACTGAAGATTGATCAGATGATTGATTGGCTCTGACTCTTCCCTGTGGGCTGCAGGTCGGCCTATCAGAGTGAGCCGCTGAGCAGAGGGGCGGGGCTTCAGAGGAGCGCGTACTGTAAAGAGCAGCTGAGGAGAGGAGCCGAGGAGTTCTGCTTCGAGGAGCTGAGAGCTGAAAGACTCAACCGGCACCGACAGCAGGAGCTGGACGGTGCGTTCACTGACCTCACCGTGATGCGTTCACAGACCTCGTCAGGATGCCTTCACTGCCATCAGGACTGATGTGTGTTTGTTTGTTTCCTGTAGAGAAACTGAGACGTGTGACGGAGCTGAAGGAGCAGTTGGGTCGGGAGCTGGAGGAGCAGTTGGGTCGGGAGCTGGAGGAGCAGTTGGGTCGGGAGCTGGAGGAGCAGTTGGGTCGGGAGCTGGAGGAGCAGTTGGGTCGGGAGCTGGAGGAGCAGTTGGGTCGGGAGCTGGAGGAGCAGTTGGGTCGGGAGCTGGAGGAGCAGAAACATTTACTACGTCTGACTCAACAGGTTATACTGCTAATGCTGCTAATGCTGCTAATGCTGCTAATGCTGCTAATACTGCTAATGCTGCTAATGCTGCTGCTGATGCTAATACTGCTAATGCTGCTGATACTGCTAATGATGCTAATGATGCTAATGCTGCTAATACTGCTAATGCTGCTGCTGATGCTGCTAATGCTGCTGATACTGCTAATGCTGCTAATACTGCTAATGCTGCTAATACTGCTAATGCTGCTGCTGATGCTGCTAATGCTGCTAATGATGCTAATGCTGCTAATGCTGCTAATGCTGCTAATGCTGCTAATGCTGCTGATACTGCTAATGCTGCTAATGCTGCTAATGCTGCTAATGCTGCTAATGCTGCTAATGCTGCTGATGCTGCTGATGCTGCTGATGCTGCTAATACTGCTAATGCTGCTAATGCTGCTAATGCTGCTAATGCTGCTGATGCTGCTAATGCTGCTGATACTGCTAATGCTGCTAATGCTGCTAATGCTGCTAATACTGCTAATGCTGCTGCTGATGATGCTAATGCTGCTGATACTGCTAATGCTGCTAATACTGCTAATGCTGCTAATACTGCTAATCTGCTGCTGATGCTGCTAATGCTGCTAATGATGCTCATGCTGCTAATGCTGCTAATGCTGCTAATGCTGCTAATGCTGCTGATACTGCTAATGCTGCTAATGCTGCTAATACTGCTAATACTGCTAATGCTGCTAATGCTGCTGATGCTGCTAATGCTGCTAATACTGCTAATACTGCTAATGCTGCTAATGCTGCTGATGCTGCTAATGATGCTAATACTGCTAATGCTGCTAATGCTGCTAATGATGCTGATGATGCTAATGCTGCTGATGCTGCTAATGCTGCTAATGCTGCTAATACTGCTAATGCTGCTAATGCTGCTGATGCTGCTAATGCTGCTGATGCTGCTAATGCTGCTAATGCTGCTAATGCTGCTAATGATGCTAATACTGCTAATGCTGCTAATGCTGCTAATGATGCTGATGATGCTAATGCTGCTGATGATGCTAATGCTGCTGATACTGCTAATGCTGCTAATGCTGCTAATGCTGCTGATGCTGCTGATGCTGCTAATACTGCTAATGCTGCTAATGCTGCTAATGCTGCTGCTGATGCTGATGATGCTAATGCTGCTGATACTGCTAATGCTGCTAATACTGCTAATGCTGCTGCTGATGCTGCTAATGCTGCTAATGATGCTCATGCTGCTAATGATGCTCATGCTGCTAATGCTGCTAATGCTGCTAATGCTGCTAATGATGCTAATGCTATAACTGATGTGTTCTGTGATGTTAAACGGGGCTTTTTGTGAATGGACCCTGGTGCTGTGAGGAGAATGTGTTGAACAGTGACAGACTGTCTCCCTGCAGGTTCCTGAAGGCTCCTCCTCTCAGATCAGTGACTCTGATCAAACTGCGTCCTCCTTCCAGATATACAACGAGACCCAGACTGCTGCTGCACGGCCTGCTGGGTAATCTGTACACCGCTCATACTCTGCATCCTCACAGTGAATCAGCTGCAACCATACTCTTGTGAGCGTGTGCGAAAGCTGCATGCTGCCTGTTCCGTTGCTCCAGCCTTTGAGTTCACTTTTTTAACTTTAACTTTTATTCTCTTTCTGTTCGTTCTTGTTTCTTCACTCTAACTCAGTCCTGCCCTCTCTAACCAGGTTGCTTTAGAGAGTTTTGGTGCTTTTTTTTTGTGTTGTTTTTATCATGCTGCTTCCACCGGGACACGCTGCCGTTGTTTACTCTGGAGAACAGCTGATCGCACTAATGCCGGCCGGCGTAGTGGCCAGACCAGCTGATATACAACCTGAACTCTGGAGGAAAACACACGAGGTTGCAGAGGAGGGAAGCAACATCGGGGGATGAAAGGAGGGTCGAGACGGGACGGGCTTATGGAGAGGAGAAGATTTAAGCTGTGTCTCCCCTCTGTTGTTATGGTGGATGTGCGGTCTCAACAAAATGGACGAGCTAACGGCGCTGACGCGGACCCACCCGGAGTACTGTGAGTGCAGTCTGATGTGTTTCACAGAGACATGGCTGCACAGGGACATTACAGACCAGATCGTCTCCGTTGATGGCCTCCACACCGTCCGGGCGGACCGGGATACCGAGAGCGGTAAGCGGAAAGGAGGGGGGCTTGCTGTTCTAGTAAACAGCAGATGGTGTAACCCTGGTCATATCACCATTAATTAACAGCTCTGTAGCCCAGATGTTGAACTGCTGGCCGTTGGACTCCGTCCATACTATCTACCTAGAGAGATCCTGCATGTCACCATCGTTGTCCTGTACATCCATCCCTCTGCAAACCCAACATCTGCCTGCAGCATCATACACACCACCATCTCCAAACTTCAAACTCAACGCCCAAGTGCCCTCATCATCATGTGGGGAGACTTTAATCACGTCACCATGGATAGAGTTCTGCCGACTTTCAAACAGTACGTGAGCTGTCCTACCAGAGAGGAGAGGACCGGACCTGATGCTAACATTAAGGATGCATACCTCTCCTCTTCTCTCCCCCCTCTGGGCAGGTCAGATCACAACCTGGTTCACCTCAAACCCTGCTATGTGCCTCTGGTGAAGAGGAAGCCTACGACCACAAGGATTGCGAGGAGGTGGTCGGAGGAGGCTTATGAGGCACTGCAGGCCTGCTTTGAAGTGACTGACTGGCCTGCACTCTGTGAGCCCCAAGGGGAGGACATTGACGGGCTCACAGAGTGCATCACGGACTATTTAAACTTCTGTGTGGACTGCAATGTCCCAGCTCGGACTGTAACCTGTTACGCCAACAATAAACCTTGGTTCACTAAGGACATTAAGGCCATCCTGAATCAGAAGAAGAGGGCGTTCAGAGATGGCAACCGTGATGAGGTGAGGAGAGTGCAGGGGGTACTCAAACTCAAAATCAGGGAGGCAAAAGACAAATATAGGAGAAAGCTGGAGAGTAAACTCCAGCGAAACAACATGAGGGATGTGTGGAGTGGCATGAGAACCATCACTGGGTTCCAGAAGACTGGTGGCATGGGGTTGGAGGGCCATGTCGACCGGGCCAATGAACTGAACCTATTTTTCAATAGGTTTGATACTGCGGCCCATCCCCCACAAGTCTCTGCTGCTGGCTACCCAACAACTGCCACTTTATCTCCCCCTACTCCTCCTCCTTACAGACCCCTTGTCTGCTCCTCACCACCTCAATTCACACCCACCTACTCCACCCCTCCCCCTGCTCTACATCATGTCCTCCACAACCTGAGGACCTCACCCCTCCCCCCACTGTCACCTCTACAGTGCCCTTCACGCCTGACCTGGTGAGAAGACCGCTGACAAGACTCCACTCCGGCAAAGCTGCAGGCCCTGATGGTGTATTTCCCAGGGTTCTTAAAGCCTGTGCCCCCCAGCTGTGTGGAGTACTTAGCCAAGTCTTCAGCCTGAGCCTGCACCTCCAGAGAGTCCCCGTGCTGTGGAAGACGTCCTGCCTCGTTCCTGTGCCAAAGACACCGCGTCCCAGCGGCCCTAAGGACTACAGACCGGTGACTCTGACGTCCCACATCATGAAGACCCTGGAGAGGCTCGTCCTGGAGTCCTGCCACCTTCAGAAGTTTTCTGATGACTCAGCAATAGTTGGCTGCATAGATAAGGGTGATGACAGTGAATATAGGACTGTGGTGGGCAACTTTGTCACTTGGACTGAGCTGAATCATCTGCAGCTCAATGTGACAAAGACTAAGGAGCTCATAGTGGATCTGAGGAGGGCAAAAACACCAGTGACCCCTGTTTCCATCCAGGGGGTCCCTGTGGACACTGTGGAGGAGTATAAGTACCTGGGGGTGTACTTTAATAATAAGCTGGACTGGACCAGAAACACTGAGGCGGTCTACAAAAAGGGCCAAAGCCGACTCTTTTTCCTAAGGAGGCTGAGGTCCTTTAACATCTGCCGGACGATGCTGAGGACGTTTTATGAGTCTGTTGTGGCCAGTACGATCTTCTTCGCTGTCACATGCTGGGGCAGTGGGCTGAGGGTCACAGACAACAACAGACTAAACAAACTGATCAGGAGGGCCGGTGATGTCGTAGGGGAGGAGCTGGACACCCTGACGACCGTGGCAGAGAGGAGGATGCTGTCCAGGCTTCAGTCCATCTTGAACAATGTCTCTCACCCTCTCTAGGACACACTGGCCCAGCAGAGGAGCACCTTCAGCAGAAGACTCCTCTCACCCAGATGCACTGCAGAGCGCCACAGGAAATCATTCCTGCCTGTGGTCATCAAACTCTACAACGCCTCCCTCAGAGAGTCAGACGCCCCCCCTCTGTAACCTGACCTCAAACACGGACAATCATATATACACACACATACACACACATATATGTATGTGTATATGTGTGTGTGTATGTGTGTATTTGTCCCTGGGATTATTCAAGTATTTCTGATTCTGATAACACTAATGTTTCTATCACCAAACAGAAACGAGCTGACGGACGACGTTTTCCTCCGACCGGATGAGAGAGGACCCTGCCTGAGGATCCAGTACCCACGACAAGGTGAGTCTAACTCTTCCTCACAGGTTAGTTAATGACAGACAGTCAGTGAGTGTGTCTGACGTAGATGATAAAAACAGCAGTTTCAGTCGGAGCAGACCAGCTGTGGAAACAAACCACAGAGAGGCTGCGATACAACACAGGCAGAGGGAGAGCGACACCATGTGACTGTATATAATGTTTAATATATCATACTGAACTGTGGTAGTTTCTGTGTTAACATGTTCCTGGTCTGATTGTCAGACCATCAGGGAGGGACGACCCAAGACCTCCAGGCTCAGGAGGAGTCCCGCCCCCCCGTTGTCTCTCAGAAACCAGTGACAAAAACCAGACAGAAGCTGAGTACGATACAGGAGACCAGTGTGGACGGCAACTCTCGGCTCTCACTGAGAGACTGCAGTCCACTGTGGGAGGACCAGGCTCCATCATCTGGTAGGTGGCGTTGTGGTGGTAGTTATTACAACATCAAATAGACATAAACTAATATGACATTTATGTAGCTATTTATTATAGTTATTGATCAGCTCTTCCTGTGTATTTAAACTGTTCCAGATGGGGGCGCTGTGGATCCATGTGACCCAGATGTGCGGCGGCGGCTGCTTTGTGATGTCACTTCCTCTCCGGACTTCCACTCCGAGCCCCACCCCCTCCCTCCAGTGGAGGAGCACAGCTGTCTGCAGCTGGGTAACTCCTCCTCTTTCACTCAGACTAGGACCACATTACCCATCATGCCTTGGTGCTGTTTGATTTACTGACCCAGTCGTACTGACTGTAACTCCAGCAATCAGTGCCTATACAGTTACTGAACAATAGTAATTAGTTATTTTACTATATTTAGTAGTTATTGATCCTCCCGACCACCAGAGGGCAGCGTTCCTGCCTCTGTCAGTACACAGGACAATTCATTAACAAGCTTTGTCACAGTTGTTAGTCCATCAATAACTATTGATTAACAGACTGTCGGGGCCACTGTACGATCGATTACCAGTGAACAAAAGACCATAAAGATAAGTATTGATTATTGATTGACTGCGTCCACCAGGGGGCGATGTGTACCTCCTGTACGACAGAGCTGTGGATGGAGGAGGTTTCTGCGTCTATAAAGGAGCTCTGGAGGACGACTACGTGCTCCTCAAGGTGAGCATGCACTCACAGGTCTAATACAGGTGTGATGTTACCTGGTCTCCATGGTGACAGATGTGGTTTCCCTGCTGCAGGTGGACAGCTGCTCTGTCCCCTGGGATTTCCATCAGTTCCAGCGTCTGAAGAACTCGTCCCTCACCGCCAGTCTTCCTCACGTCAGCTGTTTCCAGTTCCTGGACGGTTGCATCACTGTCTACACCACCCCGACTGATCACATGTTCACTGTGAGTCACTTCCTGTTCACGTCCCCACAATGTACATCCCGTCAGCTGGACGAACGCTGCGGGGACACTACAAGGACACTCTGGGGACTACAAGGACACTATAAGGGCGCTGTGGGGACACTATAAGGGCACTGGTGGGGACACTATAAGGGCACTGGTGGGGACACTATAAGGGCACTGGTGGGGACACTATAAGGGCACTGGTGGGGACACTATAAGGACACTATAAGGGCACTGGTGGGGACACTATAAGGGCACTGGTGGGGACACTATAAGGACACTATAAGGGCACTGGTGGGGACACTATAAGGGCACTGGTGGGGACACTATAAGGGCACTGGTGGGGACACTATAAGGGCACTGGTGGGGACACTATAAGGGCACTGGTGGGGACACTATAAGGACACTATAAGGGCACTGGTGGGGACACTATAAGGGCACTGGTGGGGACACTATAAGGGCACTGGTGGGGACACTATAAGGGCACTGGTGGGGACACTATAAGGGCACTGGTGGGGACACTATAAGGACACTGGTGGGGACACTATAAGGACACTATAAGGGCACTGGTGGGGACACTATAAGGGCACTGGTGGGGACACTATAAGGGCACTGGTGGGGACACTATAAGGGCACTGGTGGGGACACTATAAGGGCACTGGTGGGGACACTATAAGGGCACTGGTGGGGACACTATAAGGGCACTGGTGGGGACACTATAAGGGCACTGGTGGGGACACTATAAGGGCACTGGTGGGGACACTATAAGGACACTATAAGGGCACTGGTGGGGACACTATAAGGGCACTGGTGGGGACACTATAAGGGCACTGTGGGCATTTTTTTCACACCAAACCTGATTTACGATTTGAATCGTTTTTTTTTTTTTTTTGTAGACTGTTTTTGAGCGGGTGTTTGTGGGTTGCAGTCCTGTATATCTCACAGAGAGCAACATTTCTCCCACTCGGCTGCATGCCTCTGCTTGAGGTGCTGGAATAAATTGGTCGTACTGCTACCTTCGGTTGCAACAGCTTTCAAACAAACTTTGCAGTGGGTCGTGGTTTGTTCGCTGTCGGACGCCACAAAACCAAACCAGTTCCAAACAACCGACGACACTGTTTCCTTTTTGGGGACGAGCTCATCCTGGCTTGCTGCCGTGTTGTGTTTATCTGTGCAGCGGCGGGGGGAGGGGTCAGCGCACTCTGACCTACGGGAGCCCAAAGGGAGCGCCGGTGTTGTGGAAGTTCAAGAGAAAACCGATTTTAACTAAAAATAAATCGTGTTTAACTACGAATTTGAATTTATCGATAAAATCGATTTATTGCCCAGCCCTAGCTGTGTGTTGCCGCTTATTAGACCGATCACCCCCGGGGGCGACACAAAGTGGAACAGGAATTTTTTGAATTTGCTGTTATTTGATGTAGATAGTTAGTTTGTATTTAGATGCAACTTGTTGCTATACTGATACTACTTGTTACTTCAATAAATTGGAACATTTTAAGCTTGTTGCGTATTTTATTAGCATTGTGTTGGGGCGATGGGGGCAGGTGGGGCTTGAAAATTCCCCCTTGTCCGAAGCGGGGAATGACCAAAAAAGTTTGAGAACCACTGCTATAAGGGCACTGTGGGGACACTGGGGACTATAAGGGCACTGTGGGGACACTGGGGACTATAAGGGCACTGTGGGGACACTGGGGACTATAGGGGCACTGTGGGGGGGACTATAAGGGCGCTGTGGGGGGACTATAAGGGCGCTGTGGGGGGACTATAAGGGCGCTGTGGGGGACTATAAGGGCGCTGTGGGGGGACTATAAGGGCACTGTGGGGGGGACTATAAGGGCACTGTGGGGACACTGGGGACTATAAGGGCACTGTGGGGACACTATAAGGGCACTGTGGGGACACTGGGGACTATAAGGGCACTGTGGGGGGACTATAAGGGCACTGTGGGGGGACTATAAGGGCACTGTGGGGGGACTATAAGGGCACTGTGGGGGGACTATAAGGGCACTGTGGGGAGTGTGGACACTATAAGGACACTGTGGGGACACTGCTTATTTGCTCATTATGTTCTTGATATTGCTGTAAGAGGACGTCAGCAAATGTCGTCATGCTAATGTTAGCTAATTAGCATTAAAGATAAAGTGAGTGTCATCAGTTCTGCAGGTATTTGGTCATAAACCAAAATATTGGAAACATTAAATCATTGACCTGACGATAGCGTTAGAGGGAAAGTCAGAGTAATTTCCCCACTGGGATTATTAAAGTATTTCTGATTCGGATCGTGTGTGTGTGTGTGTGTGTGTGTGTGTGTGTGTGTGTGTCTCTCTCTCTCTCTCTCAGGAGCTGACGGAGTGTGTTCCCTGCGAGGCGTCAGTCGGTCGAAGAGCTATCGGTCTGTTACAGCTGGTGTCACAGCTGCACTCCTGCAGGCTGCTGCATGCAGCGCTGCAGCCAAACATTCTCACCTGTTCCCACAGGTACACACACACACACACAGTCAAAGAGAATCATCAGAGCTCAACAGTTGTATTTATTCTGGCTCCTGTTGTCCCTCAAGAGGTTTACTGAGTCCTCATTGGGTCTTCCCGGTGGACTGGTCCTCCTCAGTGGACCTGGACCTTCAGCAGGATGTTACATCAGTCCAACAGGTCCTATCAGCTCAGAACTACATCAGTCTGGGTCTCCTGGATCCGAACGCGCCGCCACAGCTGGTAATGCTACAAATCATCTGTCCACGCCCCCTTCACTGGGATTGGTTTGATCATAACTCCTCCCCTTTATCTACCTGTCAGGTGGACCTGGTGGGCGTGGCTGAAACGGTCCACCACCTCCTGACCAACCGCAGGATGGTCGCAGTGAAAGATGAGAACGGTTGGACGCCAGAGCAGTTCAGTGGAGACGAACCCTGGTGTGGACTGTACACTACTGCTGTATTCTGCACATTTACCTGCTGTAATCTGCACATTTACCTGCTGTATTCTGCACATTTACCTGCTGTAATCTGCACATTTACCTGCTGTAATCTGCACATTTACCTGCTGTAATCTGCACATTTACCTGCTGTATTCTGCACATTTACCTGCTGTATTCTGCACATTTACCTGCTGTATTCTGCACATTTACCTGCTGTATTCTGCACATTTACCTGCTGTATTCTGCACATTTACCTGCTGTAATCTGCACATTTACCTGCTGTAATCTGCACATTTACCTGCTGTATTCTGCACATTTACCTGCTGTAATCTGCACATTTACCGCCTTTATTTCACATATTCTACTGGCTTTAAGTCCCTGTCAGTTCTAACTTTTCTCTCTGCAGTGACATATATTCCAGGATGTGGAGGAGGGTTTTCAGGTCTTTGCTGAACGCCAGCGGTCGCTCGTCATCGTCCGTCCTGTTGGAGCTGAAGGAGCAGCTGTCGACACTTTACCACTGAAATATCCTCAGATTGTTCTTTGTCCTCGTCTATGTGTTTTTACCTCACTACATAAATAAAATGGCTTTTACGGGATCTCTCTGTGTCTGCTCTGTTTCTGCTCCAGCAGTGAAGCATTATGGGGCAGAATTTCACCCAAAAAGTAAACCAAGAAAAGCATCTTATACTGAACTGAGTGGATATCAAACTGTCTCGTGAAATATAAAACCATCAATAAAGAGAAAATTATTCTACACCAATTCATATCCTAGCTCAGGACACTTTTCAAATAGAGCAGGTCTAGACCGAACTCTTTAAAACATTAATTACAGAGACCCAACAGTACCACCATGAGCAAGACCTTGGAGACAAGGGCAAGGAAACACTGCCTGTTAAAAGGCAGAAACCTAGGACAGACACCATTAGTCATTCTATCCTAATAGAATGACTAATGGTGATGATGACATAGCCAGAATGATGAATAATAATATCAGTAATGTTTATCAGTGTGGGTCGAGGAGGACAACAGCAGCAGATATATTATTAAATGTTGTTAAATGAAAAAAAAAAAGGTGGAAACAAACATACAAACAACATATGTCACGCAGCATTTCAAGCAGTGGATGTAGTAAAACATGACCTCCGTATATAAATGTGTATAAATATATTAATGTGTATATTTCTCTTTATGGTCTCTTCGGTTCTCCGTATGAAACAGTCAGAAGCTCCAGAATAATAGTGTCAGTGGATCTTGAGTGGAGCCAGTTTGAGTAGATTTCAGGATGCGAGGGTGTGGATGTGCTTGCAACATGAACACATCTACAGCCCATAATTCCTCACTCCTTGTTGCCACAGAAACAAAATGAGACACAGGACAGTCAGCTGTATGTGGACGTTGGAGTCTGACTGTTTGTTGAGTCACCGTCCTCCTCTGCCTGAGGGGAGAGCGAGGCATGCTGCAGCCTGCAGAGAGAGAGAGAGAGAGAGAGCTCTTCACCCAGTCTTTGTTTCAGGGTGTGTGTGTGTGTGTGTGTGTGAGATGTTTTTAGGCACAATCAATAATCAATAAAGACTAAATTCCGACCCCCTTATATTCCCGGTAATATCACAGACATAATACACAGTGGACTGTCTGCAGTAAGCCAAACCAACCTCCTTCAGAGAGTGTCCATGACAACCAGCTCTCTGTTATTAATGTTCTCTTTATTCAACCACAGCAATGTCAACCACAGCAATGTCAATAAAGATTGTTTGAATTTGAATTTGGAGAAAGAAGCAACAAACTGTCAGTCAAACTAAACTCCGCCTTTCTCCTTCATACCTGAGACCAGGTGAGACAGGGACGAGCGAGGGGGGAGGGAGAGAGAGAGAGAGAGAGAGAGAGAGAGAGCAGCAGAACGACAGCAGGAACCGAGAAGAACGGACTCACCTGGACTCTGCCCGACAGGTGAGTGTGTTTACTGACTGTAACGGTTCCACACACAGGAATGATCTGTACATGTGACAACCCAGAGAGTCAGGTTCTCTAGTCTAAAGAACTCCGAGCAGTTCTTGTTGTTATCAATAGTTGCATAGTTCTACAAACTTAAAGAACCCAGTGACAAAGGTTCTCTACAAAATGACTTGAACACATTCAACAAATATGAATGAAAAGGCTCTACAGAGAACCAGCAATGGTTCTTTCAATGGTTCCACTGTTTGGACCTCTCATTACGGGTTCCACTGTTTGGACCTCTTATTATGGGTTCCACTGATGAGGTAAAACAACGGTTCTTTAAAGTACCAGAAATGGTTCTTGGGGTTCAGATTAAAGCAGAACAGTTTTCAGGGCTCATTAGGTTCTCATCAGTCCCTGGTCCTTCAGTAGAACCCTGTGATACTCTGATAAAGGTTCTCTACAGTACCAGGCTGTAGAACCTTTATGGAACCGTGAAGAACATCTAAATGGTTCCTTCTTATGAATCTGTTCTTCTATGAGACTCAACTGGTTCCACAAAGAACCTTTAAGGACCTTTGATAACAAACTGTAATATATGAAAATTAGCTGTTAGCTTGTGGAAGCTTTGTTAAAAGGAGGTCAATGTGGACTTGAAGTGTGTGTGTGTGTGTGTGTGTGTGTGTGTGTGTCTGTGTGTGTGTGTGTGTGTGTGTGTGTGTGTGTGTGTGTGTGTGTGTGTGTGTGTGTGTGTGTGTGTGTGTGTGTGTGTGTGTGTGTGTGTGTGTGTGTGTGTGTGTGTGTGTGTGTGTGTCTGTGTCTGTGTCTGTGTGTGTGTGTGTGTGTGTGTGTGTGTGTGTGTGTGTGTGTGTGTGTGTGTGTGTGTGTGTGTGTGTGTGTGTGTGTGTGTGTGTGTGTGTGTGTGTGTGTCTGTGTCTGTGTCTGTGTGTGTGTGTGTGTGTGTGTGTGTGTGTGTCTGTGTGTGTGTGTGTGTGTGTGTGTTGTGTCTGTGTGTGTGTGTGTGTGTGTGTGTGTTGTGTTGTGTGTGTCTGTGTGTGTGTGTGTGTGTGTG